ACAAAAAGTATTACGTACTAAGAAAACCTATTATTATTTTATTTATTTCATGCTAATTAAATATTAGAAACAAATATTTTCTAAATAACATTTAAATACTATTTAAAAATATTTGCTTTTGCTCTGAAATATTTGCTATTCATTGATCAATGAAAATTCAGATAATATGTGCTAAAGTTTGTTCACATTTATTAAAAATAATATATTAGCAACTTTTTGGGTGTTAAGGTTGTTATATATAGGTACAAGAAGTATTATGCAATAAGAAAATTATTAATAACTTATTTGTTTCATGCTAATTAAATATAAGAAACAAATATTTAAGAAATACTTGCTTTTGATCTGAAATATTTAGCAAACATATAAATATTTCCTAAATATGTATGTAATATTTTGTGCTATCTGGGTATACCTACTCACCTGCTTGAGGGAGACATTGGCCACCTCCAAGGTATAGGGGAGGAAGTTCTGCACAGTCAAGGGCGGCAGGAGCTTCACCAAGTAATTAGGCACCGAGTGGGCGAGTGAATTCTTCACCTCCAAGTTCCTCCGCAGCAACGCCCTCAACGCGAAGATGTCCAGGTGCGAGTTGTTTTTCGGCTTGCAAATGAGGTTGTAAGCAGCGTCCATTTCCCGCGCCATGTCCCTCCACCATATGCCAGACTCCGAAGCATAGTGGCCCCTGGAAAGTCACATGTTAACTCAACAACTCAAAGTTTCTGGTCGTCTTACTCGGCGTAAGCCGGTTGAATGAACAGCTTGCAATGATACGCAATGTGAAGCGGCACATTGTAGCTGTCGTGGGCCCCCAAGATGGCTATTCGCATGGTGGTTTCAAACGGATTGGTCACATCGCCTACCGGCTCCATGTTCATCTGCTGCAGCACCGAGGGTTGATAGAGGATGTTCAAAGCGAAGCAGGTTTCGTTGCGGATCTGCAAAGATTGATTCATTTGAGGGAACAGTGGCAATTTGAACGCTCTTCTTACTTGCAAAGGGGAGCTGGCGTTCACATTCCGCCCCATTCTGCCGATGCCATGCCGCACCGCCAAGTGGTAGTTGCCCAATGGGGCGGGATCAACCGCCTGCAGTTTCACCAGTTTTTCCCAATTCCTCTTGGAGCAGTTGGTCTGCACGGGGGCGAAGTTCGGCACGAAAATTTTCACGTAGTGTCTGTTGACTTTCTCGTACAAGGACCCGGTGGTTTCTTGAGGAAACTCCAAGCTCTGGATCGTCGAGAAGTCGTAGCCTTGCTCGTAGTCGTGCTTCAGCTGCAGCTCAAGATGCCTGGGGCCAGACAGTTTTTTAGAGTTTCACCTTTTTTGGAGTTTTAGAGTAGCTTTACTCACTCTTCTTCGAAAGCCGCACTTTCCTGGTAGTGCAGCATCAGTTTGCAGGGGCTGTTGGGTGCGGACTCTTCATTCTCGAACTTCTTCATGCGGAGCAAAGTGTCCGGCTCAGTGCTCTTCGATTTCTTCTCAAACAGTTCCACTCGCGATTGGGGCCCGATATCATTGGTGACACTGATCGCTTTACGATCCTGATTCACGGATACGATTTTGCTGGAATATTGAGCGACCAGTTCATTGAAGACCTGAAACGGGGGAAAATGATCGGAAGCTTGTCAGGCCTGATGGTGTTGATTTTTCAAAAATCAAAACTTTCCACATATGGAGAGCACTGGGTAACACTGTGTTGAGTTGTTGCCGCTCTCTGAGATAACGAGTTATAACTAAAAAAAAACTACGCAAATCTAAAACTTCTTGAATTCAAGCATTTTTTGAGAAAACTGCCAACATTTGCCCATCCATGGTTCACTTTTTAAAAAGGTCATTTATTTCTCTCTAGAATGATGTACAAATGAGTGTTCTTGCTCATTTTGCCTCCGAGAAATGAGCAAAAAGGGGACGGAAAACATGAAATTTTGGCATAATCTTGAACCTAAGTGTTTGATATTCATATTTCTCTTTTTGGGTAAAAACTACTCGAATTTCCCCACTCATGTTGTTACGACTGAATCGACTTTTCAATTCTCTATCCAACGATGCCAAAACGAATTCTCTGGCTCGAATGGTTCTTGAGAAACTTCGAGAAAAGCAGCGTCATGTTCAAGTGGATTTTGCAGCTCAAAAAAAACTACGCAAATCTAAAACTTCTTGAATTCAAGCATTTTTTGAGAAAATTGCCAACATTTCCCCATCCATGGTTCACTTTCTAAAAAGGTCTTTTATTTCTCTCTAGAATGATGTACAAATGAGCGTTCTCGCTCATTTTGCCTCCGAGAAATGAGAAAAAACGGGACGGAACACATGAAATTTTGGCATAATCTTGCAGCAAAGTGTTTGATATTCAAATTTCGCTTTCTGGGTCAAAACTACTCGAATTTCCTCACTCACGTTGTTACGACTGAATCGACTTTTCTTTTCGAATTCTGTGACTCGACTGGTTTTTGAGAAACCTCGAAAAAACCAGCGTGATGTTCAAGTGCATTTTGCAACTAAAAAAAAACTATAAAAGACACTTAAGCCGAAAGTACTGAAAATTTCATTGAAATTGGCAGCTTTTCTGATTTTTACCGACTTGGGTAAAGTTGAGCTAAAAATGAAAGTTCCCTCTCAAATGCACCCTTTGTTTCAAAAATTCCTAACTTCCATATTAGAGCAGACACCAACTAGAAACTTGCACACTCTATAAAAGACACTTGAAGCCGAAAGTACTAAAAATTTCATTGAAATTGGCAGCTTTTCTGATTTTTACCGACTTGGGTAAAGTTCAGTTAAAAATGAAAGCTTCCTCTCAAAAGCATCCTTTGTTTCAAAAATTCCTAACTTCCATATTAGAGCAGATACCAACTAGAAACTTGCACACTCTATAAAAGACACTTGAAGCCGAAAGTACTGAAAATTTCATTGAAACTGGCAGCTTTTCTGATTTTCACCGACTTGGGTAAAGTTGAGCTAAAAATGAAAGCTTCCTCTCAAAAGCATCCTTTGTTTCAAAAATTCCGAACTTCCATATTAGAGCAGACACCAACTAGAAACTTGCACACTCTATAAAAGACACTTGAAGCCAAAAGAACTAAAAATTTCATTGAGCTTTTCTGATTTTTACCGACTTGGGAAAAGTTGAGCTAAAAATGGAATTTCGCTTTCTGGGTCAAAACTACTCGAACTTTCTCCCTCACGTTGTTACGACTGAATCGACTTTTCAATTCTCTATCCAACGATGCCAAAACGAATTCTGTGACTCCAATGGTCCTTGAGAAACTTCGAAAAAAGCAGCGTCATGTTCAAGTGGATTTTGCAGCTCAAAAAAAACCACGCAATTCTAAAACTTCTTGAATTCAAGCATTTTTTGAGAAAACCGCAACATTTCCTAATCAATGGTTCACTTTCTAAAAAGGCCATTTAGTTCTCTTTGGAATGATGTAAAAACGAGCGTTCTTGCCCATTTTGCTTCCGAGAAACATGCAAAACGGGACAGAAAACATGAAATTTTGCAATAATCTTACGCCACCCTTGCACAAAACGACGATAATTTTTCTAATTTCATAGACAACAGAAGACTGTATTTTTTCT